AGTTGCATAAGACAAAGTTGTGTAGAATGAAATGTCACTTGTTCGCATAAAAGTGAAGTTAACAAGTGACAAGCACTCAATAAAGGACGATACTGATCATCAACAAGACTTAAATCGAGCTCTTTGAGTGATAATTGAGCATAATATGCAGCTAGTTTGTTGAACGGTTCAATCGATTCAACCAAATCTTGATTGCTAACAGTATCGATTTTACTATTAAAAATTTTCTCAGGTGATGGAAACAAATCAGCTACACTTGTTACTATTGGTGAATCATTCCATACTTGTTTCATAGAATAGTCTTTTATAAGACTATCTATATGTTCTTTATGATCGACACTAGGCAAATCAACTGTGATATTTAATTTATCAAAAATAGATTTTTCTAATGTCCATCGACCGGATCGTGTGCCTTGAATTTGTTGAGTAGCAAGACCTTCAACTGTACAGATGATTTCTTTTGAAGAAGCGTTTTTGTCACCACTTGAAAGAATCATTATATCACAAGTATGTGCTTGTTCTTGACTCTGACCACAAACATTATCATTATAATTGCCACGCATTTCAATATTGGAATAAGATAAGCTTTTGTTTGTACTACTAACAAATTTTTGAATACTAATTGGAAGAAATGTTGTATCAGTGCCAGGTAGTAAAGCTATAAGCGGATGAAAACAAGCATCAAGTACTGATGGATGAAGTAAATAATAAGAAGTAAGATCATTGATTTTATTAAGATCATTTGAAACTTGAGCTGTAACTGTAGATGTTGTACCTTGTAAGAAGTTCATATTTTGAAATAAAGGTCCAAATTGATAACCTCTTGTTGACGCATAACTATAAAAATTGGACGTATCATGTATCGACCATGTTGTATCAAGAATCATATTAGTAGTAAGTATTGCGGTTGTTTTTTGTTGAGTATTATCCATATTAACTCGACCATGAGCGTGTAATGTGAATTCATTCAGAGAATATTGACTGAGAGTTTGTTGATCGAGAAAAGAATCAATGAAATCATTACTAGCCATGCCTAATGAATGCATACAATCTGAACCGGCTGATGTCCATGGTCGACTGTAGATGGACCATTCACGTTTTGGCATATCAATTTGTGTAAATACTTCTGTCAGTTCATGCTGAGTAAGAATGAGTGCTTTGACGAATTTGATTTCTTCTAAAATAATTAAAGATTGATCTTTGTTATCAAATGATGGAAATAACTGTCGATAGCCTGCTGTGGCTATTTCAAGTAGAGCTGTAGCAGGAAAAAGAAAAGCATCTTGAATTTTGTGGTCTTTCAAATAAGCATGTTGTGGTAGATTGATATTGATAAGACTTCTCCATGTCGCAGTTGTTTGTCCAGTCAATTGACGAACACCAAGTAAAGGATGAGTTTGAATACGATTAGCTAAACGTTTCATAACTGATTCTTTTGACTCATACCAACATGAACTAAGATCAAATGCATACAATGGAAAATCATCAAAGAATGCTTCATCTTTGTTTGAAGATAAAATATTTCGAGTATGAAAATATTGTTGCCAAATATCAGGTGAAATTGTTAATTGTGCCAGGCTTGTCAATAATGTGATCTGTTCATTTTCTTTTCGTTTTAATGTTGGAAGAATAAGTGGTTTTTGATTTGTTGATTGATAACATTCTTGAATAGATGTAGCCAAGACCGGATGTGGTGAGAGTTCAAGAAAAATAGTTGCATCATCATTCCGTGCAATAGACACTATAGCATCATGAAATCGAACAACTTGTCTTACATTTGTCCACCAATAATGTGCATCAACTGGTATTTCATTACTTAATGCACCTCCAATGACACTTGAATATAGACGAGCTTCAGCACACTTTGGATCGAACATTTGCCGTGGATCTTTGAGAGGAAGTCCTCGAATATCACTTAGCGATGATAACAGTTCTTTTTCAATATCAAAACGATCCATTTGATAAGAATGAAATGCATTTTCTATGCGAAGACGAGCTTTGAAAACATTTGGATGAAATGTCGAAAGCCTTTGTTGTAATTCATCAATAGTCTTTTCATCTCCACTTAATGCGACAGAACGAGGACTATTTACAGTTGCAATACAAACAAGATGTTCAATATCTTTGAGAAGTTCATTTTGTACTTCTTCTTCACTCATGGATATGGCTAACATGCAACCACCTTGTCGTGTATTACGATTTTGAAGACTTGATCGATGATAAACAATACGAACAGCTTCCTGCAAAGTGAGACGACCAGCAACAAAAGCAGCAGCTTGATCTCCAGCACTTTGTGAGACGATTGTTGAAGGATAAATATTCCATGAGACGAGTAAAGCAGCTAGAGCAACTTGAATAGCAAATAAAGTTGGTTGAGCAATATTTGTATCATTAATACGAGATTCTTGTTCATTCTTTTTTTCAATTAATTCTTCTAATAATCGCCATTCACCATTGTTGATCTTTGTCATTTCATTATCAATCAATTGTATCCATTGAGTAAAAACAGGTTCACTTTCATATAATTGTCGACCCATCGCCCACCATTGAGGACCTTGCCCACTAAAAACGAAACATATTTTTTGTGATAACGGTATCGTTGGACGTAATTCAATAGCAAGCCCTGAGATTGTCTGTTCGGCAAGAAAAGCATCGAGTTGTTGTTGTAGTTGTTGACGATTTGCAAATACAAAGATGGTTAAATGTATATAGCTAATTGTTCGTCGAAGAAGAAGTTGTCGAGAAATACGTTGAAAGAAAGCATGATCATTATCTACATCAAAAGTTGGTCTTTTTTGTAACCATTGATTGAATTGTGCTACTTGATCTTTGAGAGATTTGCGACTTTTTGCTAAAATAAGAAAATAATAAGAATGACAATGTTTGATAATCGTCTACTTACTTGAAAACAGAAAGATGAAGTATTGTTTGTTTTCTATTTGATGGTGTCCATCAGCACGACCATTTGTATATCCATTAGTAATGGACTTTTTTGCACTGGGTCGATATTCTTCGACAATGGCATGTACATTGTTACCACCCATGCCAAATGAATTGATAGCAATAGATATCGGATCAGTGTCAGTGGAAGGTGGAAAAGGTACGGAATGAAGTACAACATGAAGATTATAACGTTGTGCTTCGATTCGGGGATTGAGTGATGTGAACTGCATATTTGGTGGAATAGCTCGATGGTGCATACACATAGCAACTTTGATTAATCCAGTAATACCAGCTGCACCTTCTGTGTGTCCCAAATTACTCTTAACAGAACCAATCAATAATGGAGGTTCAAGCGATGATCGATTGAAAAAACGACCTAGACAATTTGCTTCAATAGGATCACCTATTGGTGTACCAGTACCATGTGCTTCAACGTAGAAAATGCGTTGAGGATCAAAGTTTGTTCGTTTGTAAACATCAGTGAGCAGACGTGTTTGTCCAGCAGCTGATGGAACGACATAATTGCTTTTATCTTCATTTCCATCATGATTACTAAGCACATCGCGAATAACACAGTATATACGATCACCATCACGCTCAGCATCACTCAATCGTTTCAACATGATAAGACCAAGACCATCACCTAACAACTTTTATTCTATTAGATGTATGCAAATATAACTCTTACCTTTAGCGTAACCATTAGCATCAGCACTAAATGATCGACTTCGTCCATCAGGTGATAGAGCACCAATGTTCGAAGTAGAAAAAACACTTTCTGGTGCAAAAGTACCATTAACACCACCACATACAGCGATGTCTGCTTCATATGTGCGAAGAGTTTCTACAGCCATATGTACAGCTTCTAATGATGACGAACAAGCAACGTCTAATGAGACGTTAGGACCTTGTAGATTAAAATGGTATGATAATCGAGCTGCAGCATTGTACAATAAACTATTGGGTCCATGAAATCTTGATCGATATTCGGGTTCCATTCGAATTAATGTGTGCGCATGATCTGTAGAGAACTGTCCTATGTGCACAGATGTTCGTGAACCATGCATTTTTTCAATACTGTAACCAGCATCGTCAAGTAAATGAACAAATTTAAGCATAAGTAATCGATGGCACGGATCTATACTGCCTGCTTCTGCGTCGGATAATCCAAAGAAACCTGCTTCGAATGTATCCCAGTGACTATTCGAGAGAAAATATCCTCTACGAATAAGTTTATTGCGCAGTTGTTGATTATTGTCCATATTGAACATATGAGCGCAATATGAATCAATATCGAGTCGATCACGAGGTATTTCGCTACCCACATCTCGACTTTCATCCAATGCATGCCATAGATCATTTGGACTATGAATATCACCAGCAAATTCGCAGGCTATGCCAACAATAGCCACTGGTTCCAAGAAGGTGCTGGAGGATGTCATTTGAGATATGTTGGATAAAAAACTAGTTGATTATCGGAAGAAATGAAACAAAAACTGATGAAGTTTTGATCTGAAAAAAAAGAAGTATTGAAAAGTATTGTGTGTCAAGAACACATAATATTAAAGAAAAGTCGCGAGAACTCTCCACAAACAGGCAAAGGCAAGATTTTTCGAGTGGTTTCTACGTATATCGAAAAATATACTTTACTAATCTATAGCTGTAACAACCGGCGAATGTTTCATTCTCGTCGATCTAAATACAAAAGAATAGAATTTATCTGTAGCAAAATAGTTACTTATTAATAAAATTGTATAATCACTAAACTGACAATTTATTTTTGAATGTTAATCTGATAAAAACGATTGAAGATTAAACTGACTTGAATTTTGTGGAATTTCAAATTGATATTCATTTAATTTAATTGAATTTTTTGATGAGATTTGTTAAAATAATTCATTGAATAATTTTGTTACTGATGATGAATGTGTTGAAAATGTCATTTCAATTAAATTTTTCATCAGATTTTGATCTTTCTTAGTTTCAATTATATTTAAAGTAATTTGTGGAAATTTTCTTGTACATTGGAGTATGAAAGAACTTTGTTCAAAAATTTGTTAAATTAATATTGAACTATAAACAGTTGTGAGTTCATCACCTTGACATTGATTAAGCACAGATAAACTATTAAAAAGTACTTGACCAATTATTTCTCGAATATCATGATTAGAATTTTTATATAATAAATTTGATAGAGAAACTTCTCCTTCAAGTAAACAATCATAATGACGAAGACGAGCACCAAGATAAATTAAATCTACAGATGCATCTTTTGTTATGACAACATCATGTTGACCTTTGGCTTAAATAAATAAATATGAATTTGTTTAATAAGAGTAAAAAATGATGATTGATGAACATTTTTCAAGTATACTATATCATTATCGGTTAAATCATAAACTATATTTGTAAATTGATAATCAATATAATTCATTCTTTTCCTTTAGTTTTTAAAATATCTTCAAGATAATGATGAGAATCAAATTTGATTTGCTAAAAATTCTCAAAGTATCTTTGGAAATCAAAATCATTTATTCGAATTGTATTTAAATCAAATAAGATCTGATTCAATTCAATTTGGTTTTTTACTAATATTGATGGATATGATAAAGATTGAATATCAATTCTTGGTAAACTAGTTGCTGAAACTTCTAATTGAAGTATTTTAAAAACGAAAATATACATAAAATAAAATTTTACCTGTACGCTTTAAATTATTAATGGTAGACAAAATGAGTGTAATTTTGATGTAGTGTTTAATTTCATTAAACGTTAAATAGAAGAACTTCACTATCTATTAGTTGAGCCTGATGGTTTCTGTGTTGTGGCAAATATCAAGAAGAGAAATGTTGATGTTTATGGACATTAAAAAAGTTTTTGATTGACTGTAAATTACAAATTTTCGATATGAAAATTATGAAGAAGACACATACTTACCTGTATGTAGGTAAAAAATAATTATCAATCACTTGAAAATAAATTTTTTTGTTATGATTTATATCAAGGACATGCATGTTATCTATTTACTCATTAAAAATAATTTTCAATTAATGTAAAAATATAAA